CGATCACATGCGCGCAGGTAGCGCACTGGTGCGGAGAGTGGAGAGCGCTCGTTGGCGAGACTACGTGTGTGGCTGGCCGAGTACTTCGCGGTCGTCGCTTCACTTTTCGCCTGAAACATTGCACACTTCGCTACTGCTGGCTGTCAATAAATCGATTTCGAGACGATGCTATCCTACCTGGAGATCGAGTCCCGCTCGAAGAGGTCAGTATTCGAGCATTCCCTTTTTCTAGCTATTCACCGCTCATTGGACGGCGCAGCATTTTTGAAGGCATCTCTACCAAGTGGTCTGTCATTCCGCTCGTTTGATCGTATCTGAACGCTGTTACGTGGACTAAAGCTTTGCTCTCAAATGTTTGACTTCGTTTCCTCTCTCTCCAGATGAAGCATTTTGTTCACTTCCCTATTCTCTTCGAAAATGCCACAAAAAATCCACCTACGCGCTTTACCATCAATCACACTTGCGAAAGCCAAGCTGGCGGGTTTACTAGATCCGAATTTTCTCAATCTCACGGCTTCAAATCCTGCTTGAAGCGTTCCAAGGTCGTCGTTCCAGTGTACGTCACCCACACCATCGTTCAAATTCAAATTCTCACCCGACATTCACTGTCACCCCTTGGCTCTCCTAACCCTTCCTCCCCTCCTCCTCTTTGTTGCTTCTAACTACGTCCTGACGTCGCGCTCACGTCAAAACAATGTGGGAGCCCCGCATCACTTGACATGGTCATGTTTTCCACTTACATCCAGCAGCCAGCAGCAGCCAGTTCTAAAAGCGTCTTCGACTATCGTCAGTCGGCTTCAAAGCTTTCGGCGTTCATTCCTGACCGACCGGTTTCGGATGCGTTGTACTCTGAACCTGTGCCCGTTGACGTTCATCTCGGCCGTGCGCATGCCCTCTGTGATTTTTGAGGTCTATGAGAAATTTAATCTAGAGAAGATTGATCACTTCATCGCAAATCAGCACAAACTTTGCCCTCCTCTCTCTCTTTCTACCTGTTTAACACTAAAATATTTCAGAGCAGATACTCTGAAAGAGAGCATTAAATTTGTTATTTATTTTTCTTGTCTACTTTTTTGCATACCGTTCTCTTCTACGTAATCTCTGCGTGCCTTTGTGCGTCATTTTGTCTGTCA